CTAGATTTCAATCTTCTAAAGTTAGAAGACTAGAATTTTTCTTGGTGTGAATTCTTTACATATATTTAAACCATATATGCTATCATTAATACTTATTTTGAATTTTTGAAACAAAAAATTAAAGCCTACCAACGAAGAAAAGTGATGGTTGTGATGATATCTACCAGCCAGACCAACCTGATCCTTCTGCCTATCAGCATCTAACCCCAGGGAGTTTCTGATCCTTATTCTTTTAGTTTGACTATTTTTGTTTTTACATTGGGGACAATGTAATATTTTTTTGTTTAGAGAGTGCAAGTATTATGATACTTAGAATAGATCGGGTATGTATAACTGTTTACAAACAAAAAAAAAAATTGGAAAAAAAAAGCTCAAAAATAGTGTCTGATCGGCTTGTCGCCTATGATCATATTTGTTTGAATTGAGTATAGTTTTATCTAAAATACTAGACAACACCATAACCTGTTCTTTTACTTGAGTACTTATCCATGTTAAATTTAATTTATTTGAGCACGTAGCCGGTATTGACCTCTTACTTATGTTGGGACACAATTTAATTTTGTAGACTTCTTGATGTTGTTGACCTAAGTTTGCATAAAAACCCCAAATCCTTTATATAGAAACCAAACTACTAAAAAACAGTTTTGGGTGGGAAGGTTGGTGTTTGTGTTCATAGAAGTTTGATAGTTTTGAATTCTTGGATTAAATCTTTTGTTGAAGAAGTTTGAGTTAAGGATTCTAGAAATTTCACTGAACAATTTTAAAATTCAAATCCCATATCAAAAGAAAATGTGATACATCTTATGCTCCTCATTTTCTCTAGATTCAATGTGCACACTCGTCTTTGCGTTTTCGATCTTTGCACATAGATATGCACTCTCTACTGTTAACACTTTGAGGCTCTCCGTCTTTTCCTATGTGAGTTTTGTCGTGGAAATCTTCTGCAAGTGACGATGTTGTGTGTAAGAAATGTCGGCCTATACTTTTGCCTTAAGTTGCCTCTCGTTGTCGTTTTGGATTGGCATCACTATCCACTGGACAGTTACTGCTCTCTTCGGCTTCAACTTTTGAGATTTTCATCTCTTTTGAATTTACCTTTGTGTGGCTCTTCCTTTTAGATCTCAAGGTTTCTCAACTCGAACAAAGAATTTCATGATTTACTTTACTCATGTTTCTTCCAGACGACGTCAATTTATCGACAATAGAAATTCGATCAACAAATTCTTTTTACCTAGTCAAGATTTTCACAGTCTTAACTTACTGATTTTGATGCTTAAATCAAAACAAGATAAGAAACGACTATTCGAGAGGAAGATAATTGAATTTACATGGTCTTCTTCTCCTAGGTGGGAGTATTTATAGATTTTGCTCGAGGATTTGGGGGTAATTAGATCTTTTGGGATAAGCGAAGGGTAGCAACCTCCTATTGGCTGCTTTATAACTGATTCTGTTTTAAATTTCACGTTTTATTCATCGGCTTACATGTCATGCGTCCATTAACTTTGAAGTCGTGTTTTAAATGTTTGCCCACTTATGCTATAGCAACGGTTCTTGACCAGCCTCGAAGGAGGCGGCTCGCCTTACATTTGTGTGAGCCTTTTATGATGTATCCCTTGCATATTGCTTACAATTCACAAATTGGCGATGTACTCGTGGAATCTAAGCTCAATTTTTCTATCCACCCGTCATGATCCTATGTGAAGAACGCCAGGATTGAGAAATAAAAATATAAAACATTAATAATAATAATAATTATTATTATTTTCTCCCATATTCTTAAATTGTCTATTATGTTGTACATTTCTTTTAAGTGCTCTCTTATACAATAGTATCACATGTTAATGGATAAATTTCAAGTCGAACGGACATAAAATAAATAGCTAATATATAAGATAATGGACTACTAATTAACAAGCTTGACATTTCAAGATGAATACAAAAGATTTAATATAATATCGAGCGCATGAAACAAATCTACCCAATTATTAAAAAAAGGAACACATAGAATTTCAAAATTCATCTTATTAAATGAGTCATCATCTTGCTATAGGGCACGTTAAGGGTTGAATATCCTAAATATATAAATAAATAACCAACACATCAGGAATTGAAATGCTAGTGTTGACTTTCTAAGATAATTAGACAAAATATCATACTTGGTTCTTCTCATTTCTTTTCAATGTGGTCAATGATGCAAGAAAAGGTTAAGTCCTTAGCCCAGATGGTATATCAAAGAAATGGTCCAAAAGAGAATACTACTGAATGTGAGACTGCATCCTCTCTCATCGTTGCAGTAATTTATTATGATAAAAAAATATTTACAAGAGAAAATTGCATTCCTATTTTCTATAGCTTTCTCTATTTTTTATGATGATAATAAGGGCTAAGGACGGCTCCCTATTTATAAAATAAATTAGGGAAAATCGAAATTTAAAAGGACTTCAATAATTATGATCGACACTAATTAGGCTCATAAATTTGACACATTCAACTCATCATTGTAGAAATTGATAGTATCCACGTTTTAGAAATTCATTTTTTGTAAACTTCGTATTTAATATTTGTTGTGAATCCATATTGAACGGTTGGTAAATTTCGGTACACGACGTTATCCAGTCAATACCCATAGTCTTGGAATTTTAATTATTGAAGTCAGATTTGACTTCTCATTGAAGTCAAAAGAATGTGCGGTTGATATATTGAAGCCAAAATTCGTTATCCAGTCAATAGCCATAGTCTTGGAAAAATTATTGATTTGATGAAAAATATACGTTAGAAAATAAGTTTTGAAAGAACGTATTTTAAGATAATGTGTGTCAAACAGGGGCCGGTGTACAAATTTTATTTTACAATTTTTATTGGGTAATTGGCGCAAAACGTCCCTACCTTTGAAGCTTTTGTAGAAAACGTATATACCTTTCATTTTGTGGCGCAGAACGACCCTACCTTTTACATTCTTTGCGCTGAACGTCATAAATAAAACAAAAACGAAAAGAAAAATAAAAAATAAATTGCAATCGCTCCTAAACTTTTTTAAAAATACAAATCAGTTCAAAAAAGTGATGATTTTTTTGCCTTTTTTTAAGCCCAAATGCGTCCAAACTCCGATGGCCGGAGCCGCCGGACGTTGACACCAGTCAACAGCCCTCCAATTCCCCATTTAATTACCACCCAACCACTCCCAATTTCACCAACTGTAGTGGTCGGAATTAATACTAAAAGTTCACTGTCCTCAAATCTAAAAATCGTCGAAATCTATCCTCAAATCTAAAAATCGTCGGAAATTAAATTCCGGCCACCCCCATGATCGGAACTTACCTCCTATCAATTGCCTATCACCAGACGACCCCACCCATGCCAACAATTTACAACAAATATCAAAAAAAAAAAAATTTAATTTCATGCTGATTCTTTGCCAGTCACGACACAACCTGCGAACTTCTCAAATTCCGGTGCCGTCCGAAACACCCATGGTCGCGGACCACCTAAGCTAGGTCCATCTTCACTAGGCGCACCTAGCCCAACCATGGGTCTAGGTCAATTTCAATTCGTGGGAGAAATACTACGTTCCAGAAATTTGTCCATTTTTTGACTTCCAGCAATTTGTCCATTTTTCGAGTAGCTGATTTTGCTTGCTGATTTCTGCCGGATTATTGGATGATATGAGGAATTCTTGGGATGGAATTGTAGAGGGTGTTGAGGAGATTGTGTTGGTACCAATGTCCGGAGGTTGTGGCGGTGGAGAAGAGTAGATGTGGTCATCAAACGGTGGAGGTGGTGGAGGGAGGTGGAAGTGGTGGTGGTGGAGAGAGTGTGTTTTTGTTATTTTTAATATTTTCATAAGTTTTGGACTAATTTGAATTTTAAAAAAAATTTAGGAGCAGATTGCAATTTATTCTTTATTTTTCTTTTCTTTTCTTTTTTGTTTTAATTATATAGAATGGTATATTGGTCATTTTATGTTAAAAATTGGTGAAAATGACGTTCAACTCAAAGAATGTGAAAGGTAGGAACGTTTTGCGCCAATCAGGGGCGGAGGTGGGGGGTCCTGGGGGGACCTGGACCCCCCAATTTTTTGACAAAATTTTTTTTTTTAATTTTGGGCTCAATTTTTTTTATTTTTTTTTTAGTTATCTCTTAACTAATCCAGAATTTGTAGGATTACAAGGCCTTTGTGAACTTGCACAAAAGTTGGTTGCGACAAAAAAAATGAAGCATACCCGTTATTATACAAGCTTTTGACATTGACATTAATTTCTCAAAGTATGAGAACTCGAAAAGATCACTTATGATAAGATATGATTTTGCTAAATTAAAAATTAGTACTTTCTTTTATACGTTTCTTGATTTTTTTGTTAAGTCTTCGTACATTAATTTATGATCCGTTGTTTCCTTTCTCTGTCACAAAATACCAACTTTCCTCATTTTAACACATAATGTTTCCAAAAAAAATTCGGGGGCAGGGCCCCCACCTCTTCAACTCCAGGACGCCCTAGTTCAACTAGCTGGCTCCGCCCCTGGCGCCAATTACCCATTTTTATTTTACAGATATACACTGCGATTTTTCATTTGTTGATGACAAAAAAAAATTAGATCCAATCAAATGCTGCCAATGCAGCATCTGGAAAATTTCTTGTCTGTACACATGATTTTTTCCTTGTGTTTAACTATTTTTAAGAAAAATTGACCAGTAAATTCTTTAATCCCATGGAAGCATCTAGAATAAAAATATATATATAATTAAAAAGAAATTTAATTCCTGAAGATTTTCTTGTTGAGCAAGAAAAGTAGCTGGACTCACACGTATATGCCAACTTTTGTCACATCGTTCCTTTAATTAAGTCATGCGTTGCGTAGGAATAAAGTCCATCAAAAGTCTATATATATCCCATTAATTGCATTCTTTCGTTCATTCATCCATCGTTTCAATTCAATTCAATTCATACCGTACAATCAGTCTTAGTTCCTGCATCTGTATTTTTTGTATTGAAAGATCAGCCATGTTGAGTCCTAATGTTGATATTGCTGAAGTTTACGTGTTGAGGAAACTCCATAAAGAGAAGACCAACAGACTCCAAAAGAATACGAGTCAAGAAAAACCATTACAAAACAGTGTTGATGGATCATCTGGCTGCTTCTCCGCTGCGTTCAAGAAAGTCAATCCAACTTCTATGCCAGAATCAGATTCTTAAATCTACCAACCTTTATCTATATCTATATATGTATGAGAGAGAGAGAGAGAGAGAGAGAGAGAGAGATGGTTTTATTAGAACGCAGTTTTATGCCTTCTCTGGTTCCATTCGATGGGAATTCTGAGGAGATCTGAATGTATGTTTTTCTGCAAATGATATTTGATTTGTTGTAATTTGTTTAATTCGTTTAATTCGTTTTTATTATGTGAAATATATGTCTACAGGATTATTTAGGGTAAGCGTGATTTTACTGTTATCCCTTCTGTACTGTAAATCGATGAATGGGAATTAATATGCATATATTTGGCATCAGTACAAATTTAAAATTAACATAAACAAATGAAATATTTTTATATATTATGGGTAATTTCGTTGCCATAATTTTTGTTCTATCACGTTACAGTATAAGTATATAGGTCCGACAGGAATTGTTTTGTAGGGGTAGTTGTCCACTTGGGTCATGTCCTGCAGCCCAAGCCACTAAGCCCTATTTGGTGGCCAATATTTGAGAAAAATAATGTTTGAATTGTGATTTTTGGTGGAATATATTAAAAAGTAAAGAAAAGTTTTGAATTCACGTGTAGTAGAATATTTTATTGTATAAAACCGTGATTGAAAATGAATACTTACAAAAAAGAATTTTCAAATGATGGCCATCAAATATGGGCAAAATGAATTCACGTGTAGTAGAATATTTTATTGTATAAAACCGTGACTGAAAATGAATACTTAGAAAAAAAAAATTCAAATGATGGCCATCAAATATGGGCAAAATTAAATGTGGTTGCACTTGTTCTATACAATGATAATAACATGTAAGATTGGATATCATATTTTCCCCCGTTTAAGTTTGCTAAAAAATGAATTTTTAGTAGATTTTGATAAAAATTGATAAAATGTGTAGTTAAAAAATTGATAAAAGTTATGAATCCGAATTAAAAATGAGTTTGAAGAAAACCGAGTTTTATAAAATGGGAATCAAACTTGAGATCGGAGTCTAGTTGGACATTACCTTTAATTAAATACCTAAGCACTATAGATTGATTGGGAATCACATGAAATGTTGTTACCTGTTGAAAATGATTGTCACTTTGAGATGCTTGCCATGTATGGAAGGAATATGCCACAAAAGTAAAATGCTTAAATCTCTATAATAATAAAGAATTTTCATGGTTTATTCATGTATTACTATATTTCTGCACCATAGTTCCTTGATAATGATATAGGAAGGTGGTTTACTAGGAACTAATATATTAGCCTACTAGGAATCTTAAGGTGCTTTAAATTGAAAGTCAAGCTGACTTCGGGTGATATCAGAACTACAATACATATGAATACTTTTTTTCGAACTCTCAATAGACGGCGGCTGCACTATCACGAATTAGTTTTCTTTATTCTTCTCACTACTTTCTTTTCAGATTTGATATTTGATTGAACCTTCGTATTTGTTTGAGATATTATTGTATTCATTGTTGGCCGAACATTTTATGATGGCGGGTGCAAATGATGATTCACTTCAGTCGAATAATATGTGTGTAGAAGGGATAAATTATATATATTGGAATATTGTGATGAAGAGATTTTTTAAGGACAAGTTAATGTGGGATTATTCATATTGGAGTGTCAGTTACATGTTTGATTGAGTGATTATGATTCAGATATTTCTTCAAATGCAATATAATAAAATCAATGTTGCTTGACATTGACAAAAGAAAAAAAAAAAGAACAAAAAAAATGTTAATGGGTTTATGATGTCAAGACTGTGTGTACATAATCAGACTTGCCGAAATTCATTACCTCTAAACCATAACAATTATGATATTACATGAGAAATGAGTTCAAATTGTAAAAAATATGACATTTATTTTTGAGTCTTGATTATTTCAAGTTATTTACTCAATTAAAATTAAATGTGTAAAGAAGTAGTTGAGACCAGAGGCAGGCTTAATGAAAGCCTCATTTAACAATATAAGTCAATAACCCAAGTTAAAAATAATACGGAAAATTAGACCCCATACTCTAAAAAGTAACCCAATTAGATTAATACCCTAAACTTATTAAACATTACATAAACCCGTATTAATTACATCCTAAATTAAAACAAAACCCCAAAATCCTAAAATCTCCCAATTGAGAAAGAGATCACAAACATCGTGCACGCCACTACAACAGCTGCGATGACGCTGCTGCAACAACGCTAATGGCATTGCGCCGAATATTGTGACTCATCAAACCTAGCTATAGAAGTGTCAAGTGAGACAATGATATCCAATTGTTCTAGATTCTTCACAAAAGCCCTCTTCGTCAACACCAAACCCAATTTACTCACATACCCAGCCTTCTCCCTCTCTCGAAATCCCTCGATTCATCTTCATCATGTTCGTGCAATGGCTTCTGAATCTACCTCCTCTTCAGCTTTCAAGAAAATCCAGATTCAGAGAGACAACACGATGAGACTAAAAATCTCATTTGCTTGTCTGTGCCTCTACGCTTATGTGTTTAATCGCTTTATCCTTGTTTTCCTCATTTTTTCATTTCCTTCCTGTTTCCTCAGTTGGGTGGGAAGAGATGATATTTTTTTATTTGTAAGTACCATAAAGTTGTTAGATTTTGATGAACAGAAAAATGATGATTTTACTTTTTGACTGGAAAGTTGAATTGTGATCAAATTAATGCTAATCATGCTTTTGTTTCTTTTCTAAGTTATCTTTTTCTTTTTGTTTGGAGGGGAATATTAAGCAGGCATTTGATGCCTATGTGATTGGGAAAGAAGATGCTCTTGGGATTGTTGTGCTTCAAGAATGGTGGGGTGTTGATTTTGAGATCAAGAACCACGCCCAGAAAATCTCTCAGTTGGAACCTGGCTATAAAGCGTTGATCCCAGAGTAGCTATGTCAACAAGTCGAGTCCGAGCCGAAAAAGAAAAAGCTCGAGCTCGGCTCAAACATTTTTTAGGCCGAGCTTATTTGGGCCCAAACCGAGCCGAACAAAGCTCGGCAAAAAAAAAATGAGGCTCGGCCCGAACTTTGGCCTAAGCATTAGCGGGCCGAGCCGTTCGTGTTTTTTTTTTAATGTCAAATATACATATTCACTTAAAAATTTTAAAATTTGTACGGTTTATACATACTATAAATTAAATAAAAAAGTTCAGGCTCGACTCGAGCCTTTTTTTTTTACCCAAGTCGAGCCCAGCCCGAGTCGGCGAGCTTTTTGCCATCCCTATCCCAGAGTGGTTGAAGTTGTATAAAATGATATAATTTAAGATCTTGACTAGGCCCTTTTTTGGTGACTTTTTTAGTGTTTGTCAATTGTTTGAATACATACATGCTTAAGTTCGTTTTTCTTTTGTTTTATGCGTATAGTTTTTTATGCTTAGGCTTTTGTCTGGCTAGTAATAGTAGTAGTGGTGACGGAGAAAATTTCACTTCATTTGTTAATGAAAGTGATATTATGCTCCTGTTTAAGCCACATTATTTTTTTCATTTTCATTTTTCTACTCATTTTCAACCACACATTTTTCAATAAAATAATATTTTACATCACATCAATAACTTTTTCTTCTTTTTCAACCACACATTTTTCATCAATCTACTATTCATAAATACATTCTTCCAAAATAATATGGCTCAAACCCACCCTATATGTCATTTTTTTTAATTAAAAAGTTATATTAAAAGTGACATTACACTTAACTTTTTATTAAAAAGTGATACAATGTCACTTTTATTATAAAGTGATACAATCCACCCAAAAAAGTGATCGGTGTTTCGTCACTTTTTTTAGTGTTGTCATTTTTTTGAGTTTTTATCTTTTTTTAAAAAAAAATTCTTTCACTTTATTGAATTGATTCCAAAGTTTTGATTGATATTTTGTCACTTTTTTTAATTGTCGTTTTATTAAACCGATTCTAAGATTTTGATTAGTGTTTTGCCATTTTTTGAATGTTTATCACTTTTTGAAATTTTTGTGCCTTTTTATAATGTTTGTCACTTTTTTCTATCACTTTCTTAAAATTTTTATCACTTTTTTTTAGTAACAGACATCACTTTTTAATAAAAGCAAGTTTATCACTTTTTTTTTAGAATTTTGTCACTTTCTGAGTGTGTCACTTTTTTTTATTGTCTGTTACTTTTTTAATCGGTATAACTTCTTTTAATTTGTGCCACTTTTTTGAATTCATCACTCTTTTTGAATTTTGTCACTTTTTTTTTTTTAATTTTTTGTCACTTTTTAAGAAAATAAAAAAATGAAATAATATGTTATATTTTCCTAACATAATTAGCATGTGAATTGACATGAACATGGTGATTATTTTAAGAACATGATTATTGGTGCTTGGATGGTGCTATTTTAGTATTTGTCACTTTTTTTTAGTTTTGTCACTTTTTTGAGTCTGTCACTTTTTTTTAAAAAATGTTTTAAAAAGGTAAAAAAATGATAATTTTATAACAAAAGTGACATTGTGTCACTTTTTCATTTTACAAAGTATTTTTTACTTCCTAAAAATTTTTCATATAATTTTTCAAAACATCCCTAATTTTAAGGAATGATAACAATTGAAAAGGGCCAATTAATTGGCCCAATCTTATAAGATTGTCTTATTTACTACAAATCCTTCCCGATGATTTATCCCATCCAAACGGCCAAACCTAAAAAGTCAAACCCTCAATTTTCACCAAAGAAAATCCGAAGAGCTACAAAATGAAGATAATTCGAATTCGTGGAAGAAGTTCTTTCATTATATTATAGGGATTCAGTTTGATTAATTCAAAATATCGAATATGATTTGTGAATTGTGAGTAAACTCTTTAGTTTTTCTAACGTTAGTTGTCGAATAAGATTATCTTGTGAGCACCGAATTGTTAAAAATTGAGATCAAAAGCTTCGGATGATTAAATAATGATATTGAATTTGTATTTCCTTCTCATTCAATTGATTGTCTTATTAACTACAAATTCCTCCGTTACTATTGCTATAGTAGAGAGTGTATTTTCTGTTATGAACAATATGAAGGATAAATTGTGCAATCGAATTAGAGATGAATGGATGAATGATAGTCTTATTATTTATGTGGAAAATGATATATTCTTAAAAATTGATAATGAATTGATTGTACAAAGATATCAAAGTATAAAAGCTCGTAATGAACAATTATAAGATATTTCATTTTTAGTATAATGTTTGTGTTAATTTTTTACATTTACTAATATCGTTCGTACTGAAAAAACTTTTTAGATCCGCCCCTAGTCGAGACCAATTATATTTATACTTTTGTATTGATTTCTCGATTACAATTTCTTTATCTCAAATTGTTGAGAATATTGTTCCTCAACCTTCTTTTGACTTTTTAATTTTTTTAGTTTATTTTTTTAGTAGCGAGCCTGTTTGCGTAAACAAGTTTTTTTGTTAATATATGTAATTTTATAAACTAAATTTAATAAATTAAGTAATTTGATAATAAATGGTTGTAAGAAATTAAATTAATACCATAAAAAAGTGTTCTAAAAAGCGTAATGAGTAGCGATGCGTGAAGGCCAAGCTCTGATCGATGAGCGTCTAGGCGAGGCTTAAGCGTAATTTTTTTTTTAATATTATTTTAAAATTTCAATCAATTTAAAAATTATTTAATAATACATACAAATTATAGTATTAAATGCAGATTTAAGAGTTTAACAAACTAAATAGATTTTCATACAATAAATAAGGAGCCTGTTTGGTAGGAATTTTTGTGGGAAGAATTGATTTTGAATAGTGATATGATGGGAAATGTGTGGTTGAAAAAGAAAAAAAAATTATTGATGTGATGGAAAATATTATTTTATTGAAGAATGTGTCATTGAAAATGAGAATTGATTTGTGCGTCTAGGCGAGGCTTAAGCGTAAATTTTTTTTTATTTTAATATTATTTTAAAATTTCAATCAATTTAAAAATTATTTAATAATACATACAAATTATAGTATTAAATGCAGATTTAAGAGTTTAACAAACTAAATAGATTTTCAAACAATAAATAAGGAGCCTGTTTGGTAGGAATTTTTGTGGGAAAAATTGATTTTTGAATAGTGATATGATGGGAAATGTGTGGTTGAAAAGAAGAAAAAATTATTGATGTGATGGAAAATATTATTTTATTGAAGAATGTGTGGTTGAAAATGAGAATTGATTTACTNTTATTTTATTGAAGAATGTGTGGTTGAAAATGAGAATTGATTTATTGTAGAAAATCAAAATCCATACCAAACAGGGTCAAGATATATTATAATAGTGCTAATTGAAATATTTGGAGATTTTTAATTTTTAATAATTATTAAAAGATAGGAAAATGATTAATTAATTTAATAAAATATAAATAACTATTTACACAATAGCATAATACATTACAGTCAAATCAAATGTACAATACACTGTAGTCAAATGAAAGGTAAAATGCATTACATTCAAACTAAAAGTAAAATGTACTACAATCAAACCAAATGAATTCTTATTCCACATCGAAAGTTTACAACAAAATCCTTGGAGTTGCCCTCTATAAATTAGTGGATCATTAAGTAGATAAGCAACTTTTTGGATCTTTCAATCACTTGGCCTAAATGTTAAAAAAATTGTGTAAGTTTTAATTTTTGAATTTTTAATCCAATTGACCTAAAAATTGAAAAACTTAAAAAAAATAATTGAGAAAATAATAATAATAATAATAATAATAATAATAATGCGTGTCAATGTGCGCCTGCGTGAGCCTAGGCTCTCCGTAGAGCGATCAATGGAAGTGCTGAACTCTAAATTAACGCATAGGTCATAGACGTGGCATTTTTGTCACGCCTCGCTCATTGGCGGTGCCTGGTGCCCCATTTAGAACACTGTCACAAAGATATATACATTATAACAATAAAAATATCTACACTACGTTAGGGAAAATTAAGATCATGCCCCTCAATCTTTGAGCTAGTAAGAAATTATATCCTCAACCTCCAAAAACATTTTAACCCCGAATCTATTCAATATTGTGAAATTGAGCCCTCATGTGATAGGAACTGGTAGTATGAATATCATAATTGCAGGGAAATCCATCAAATTGCAATCATTTCTTAAATTTTAACGTGAAATTCTTGTGAATTTCAAAAATTTCATATTTTCATTTATCGTCACTGAAACTTAATTTTACATAACTAAACCCTTGTTTGGTTCCTATTATTTTTTTCTCTCTCTTATTTTTAGTATCACATTTTTCAATAAAATAATTTTACATGCAAATCCAAAATTTTTCCTTATTTTTTAACTACACATTTTTCATCAAATCACTATTACAAAATTTACTTTTTGGAGAAAAAAAGGGGCTCGAAGAAGCTCTAAATATGTTAATGAGTTAAAATCTTACCTTTTAATGTTGGGAGGTCCTAATTTTTTCAAAATATTGTGTTCACATTTTGACCTTTTAATATGAATCCCCAAGCCTTAACACCGCATTAAAGTGGACAAAAATGCATGAAAAGTTAAGTTCTTTGCCTAGATGGTATATATATTAAAAAAATGGTCTAAAAGAGAATACTACTAAACCCCCGTTTAACAACTATTATTTTTAAACTCTTTTTGCAATGTAATCATTTTTAACCACACATTTACATAATAAAATATTCTGAATATAAATCGAAATTCTTTTCCTATTTTTTAATTACACTCTTTCGTAAAAAAAGGCTATTCAATTCATTGTTTTCCTAAAAAATGGTTGTTAAACGGGACTAAAATTACAAATAATTAAATTTGCAGCAAAAGTTCAAATACCTCGATCGCTCAATTTAACATAATGTGTAAAATGATAAATTTTATATTGGTTTCATTTTTTTATTCCATTTCAGTACTTGACGTTATCTAGTCAAGAGAAAGACTTTGA